CCCTGTGAGGTCAAACATAACGTATGCAGAACAAGTAGAACTGAATCATGACAACTTTTTTTAGGGGGGCGGTGCAGGGGAACTTCCTTCAGAAGAGAACAGTTTGAAGTGGCAAAGAGGCAGAGGAAGGGATAGTTAATCCTGCTCTCCTACTTCTTTGAGAAAAAAATGGCTGTTGGGGTATATTTATGCATCCTGGTTATGAACTCCCAATGGTGATGAAGATATGAAACTGGGTGTGGAAATCCCAGCTTCGTATCTTCATCACCACTAGACCACTATTTTAAATAGATGGAATTGAAAGAGCAGTGTGATGCAGAATTAAAGAACTCTCTTTAAAGTATTGCATCTGTCCTTGGGAAGTAGTCACTGGCTGTCTGAAGGATCTGTCCCAGTGGTGTAGTGGCAAATTTAAAAGTGTGTGTGTGTGTGTGGGGGGGGTCTTCATGATAGTCAAAGCCACACCTTAAAGCCATGTCCCCATCATTAACAATCATAGAACCATAGAATAGTAGAGTTGAAAGAGGCCAGAAGACCATTGAGTCTAACCACCTGCTGGTGCTGGACACCAAGTTACACCATCCCACTCAGATGACTGTCCAGTTTCATCTTGAATGCCTCTAATGTGGGACAGCCCACAGCTTCCCCAGGTAATAGGTTCCACTGTTGTACTGCTCCAACAGTAAGGAAATTCTTCCTGGTGTCTAGTCTAAATCTGTTTTTTTAATGTTTAATTTTACTTAAACCTGTTGTTCCATGTCCTGCACTCTGGAGTGAACAATAAGAAATCTTGTCCTCCCTCTTTGTGGCAGCTTTTAAGGTTCTTGTAGAGTGCTACCATATTTCCTATTTGTCTTCTCTTCCTGAGGCTGAACATGCCTAGTTTTTTCAATCTTTCCTCATAGGGCTTTGCCTCCAGTCCCTGAACCATCTTTGTTGCCCTCCCGTTTTTTTTTTCTAGCTTGTCTGCATCTTTTTAAAACTTAGGTGCCCAGAACTGGACACAGTATTCCAGATTGGGCCCAACCAGTGCTGAGTATAGAACAACGAGTACTTAATGTGTTTTAGAAGTGATACTTCTGTTAATGAAGCCCAAAATAGCATTTGCCCTTTTGACAGCTACGTACATCACATTGTTGGCTCATGTTTAGCTTGTGATCTACAACAACTCCAAAATGCTTCTCATTTGCAGTATTGTTCAGCTAAGTGTTACCCATTTGCAGTGATGCATTTGTTTTCTTGTTCCTAAGTGGAGGATTTGGCATTTGTCCCTACTGAATTTCATTCTGTTGCTCTCTTCCCAGTGTTTTAACCTATCAATATCACCCTGTATCTTATCTCTGTCTTCCAGGGTATTTGCTATTCCACCCAGCTTTGTGTCATCTGCAAATTTAATTATCTTTCCATGTACTTCTTCATTTAAATCATTAATAAAAATGTTGATGAGGACCAATCCCAGGACAGAACCCTGTGGCTCCCTATTTGTCACCTCTCCCCAGTTTGATAACATGGAATTGATGGAGTGTGATAGTGCAACTATTAGATAGATCCACAATTGGCTACACAATCTAGTGCACTTTTTGCTAGTTTGCTTAACAGAATGTTGTGGGACACTTTGTCAGAGGCTTTGCTAAAGTCTGGATAGATTATAGACTCATAGAATAGTATTAGAGTTGGAAGGGGCCAAGAAGACCATTGGGGCCCACCCCCTCCTGTTGCAGGTCACCAATTTACACCATCCCACTCAGATGGCTGTCCAGTTTCTTTTTGAATGTCTCTAGTGCGGGAAGCCCATGACCATTCTAAGCAACTGTTTCCACTGGCATATTGCTCTGAAATTGAGGAAACTTTTCCTGATATCTAGCCTGAGTCCAGGTTGTCGCAACTTGAGCTGATTATTCAGTGTCCTACACTCTGGTATCAGCGAGAAGAAATCTTGATCTTCCTCTTTGTCACATCCTTTGAGATAGGGCTATCATTTCTCCCTCCCCTCACTCCAGCCTTCTCTTCTCAGGGCTGAACATACCCTGTTCTCTCCGTCTCTCCTCATAGGATAGTGGTTGCAAACCCTGAATCATTTTTGTTGCCCTCCTATGACCCTTTCTATTTTTTCTGCATCTTTCTTAAATCTTAGTGCCCAGAACAGGACACAGTATTCTAGATAATGTCTAACTAGTGAACTGTACAGGGAAACTATTACTTCTCATGATCTAGAAGTAATACTTCTATTAATGCATTCCAAAATAGCATTTGCTTTTTTTGTGGATGCATTGCATTGTTGGCTCATATTTAGCCTGTTTTCTGCAATGATTCCAAGGTCTTTTTCCTTTTCAGTTCTGTTGAGTCACATATTCCCCATCTTGTATTGATACATTTAGTATCAGGGAAACTCAGGCACTAATTACCCACTCTTATAGAAGAATATATACTTGTATTGTTCCAAGAGCAGCAGTCAGGATTAACAGTCACTGTCTTCTTTATTTTAACTTTCTGTGGCTTCTGCAACTACTGACTTTGTGTGTGCATATGTGTGGGAGAGCAGAATTCATAGTTTAGGGGTTCCAGTTTCTCCAAATATCCAATAATCTTTCATTGTGGTCTTACTGGATTCACACTGAATCATGCATAAAATAGCTTAACTGAAGTAAGCTTTTGAACGGTTATCAGAAGTCTTGGCTAATTTTTCCCATTGATTCTACTTAGTATATTCAAGTTGCAATACTTTTATTTCACTTTAGCCTTTATTTGTCCCAAATAATTATTGGGCTAAGAGTTGCTAGAATAGGCCTCACAGATCTACTATTTGCAGAATAGTAGTCAATCAATTATCAGTCAATCTCCCCAGTTACTCTGGAAACTGACACTCAGTACCCTTGACAAACTATGGTCCCCAAGATTCTTTGGGGAAGTGATAAGAGCTTAAAGTGGAATAAAAGTGTTCTAAATGTGCCATGTGAATGCAAGAAGGATGCGAGGTAGTTTTTGGATCACATGTTACTGAGGATCAGAGGTTGGCCATGCAGGAAAATGTCACAGACAAGCCTCTCCAGATAGGTAGTTCCCAGGAAGTGTTCAAAAAACACCCCTGTTCTTAACTTATTAAATTCAGGACTCCGACACAGTGACAGCTGCGAGCCACAAACCAGGAAAATTACGTCACTTGAGAGGCAGTGGGAGAGTGACAATGACCTTAGCTTCAAGGATCCAGTGCCCCCTCTACTTCACCCCTGATATGCCCTCAAATGTCATCTTCATAGAGAGCAGCTCCTGATTCTCCTAGGGAATAGGGTGGTTGTGAGCAGGAAATGATAAAGCCTTATGGCATCTTAAGGCTATCAAATATTAATTTGTTAATCTTTAGGGTGGCATGAGACTCTTTTGTTACTTTAGCTCTTACCAAGCCACTAACAATCTAGCTCCATTATAGAAGGCAGCATACATTTTGTAAATTCCTGTTGGAAGTAAAATTTTGTTGGAATTATTTTTTTCAAAAACATGGGAGTGAGCAGGGGAGAAAGAGCTGTCAAGTTTATCTGGTAACTGATTTGATCTAAAAACTCACTTGCCTCTTTCAGTTGGCTGGGGGATTCTGGGTGTTGAAGTTCAACACATCTGGAAGGCTTAAGGTTGGGAAAAGTTTATCAGAAGAAGAGTAGATAGCTTACTGTGGCCAGTGTTTTTTACAATATGCCCCAAGTGAAGTTTATAATATGAAAGAGGATTCGGTGTGCACGATGGTATGCACGTGCCCCACCCTTGTCCTAATGCAGTTTTCACCAACCTGGTGCCCTCCAGGTGCTTTGTTTACAGATCCCAGCACAGCTTCCTGGGGATGCTGGAAGTTAGAGTCGAGCGCATTTGGAGGGCGCCACGTTGGGGAAAGCTGCCTTCATGTGCTATTCGGTTTCGGGCTACGGAGCAGGTAGCAGAGTAGCCCTTGTAGGCTGAGTTTGCCACAGATAATTGGAGCTTTTCGTAGTCGCCTTACTCTTTACCAGGTGTGTCCCCTTAGCGCGGCCCTGTGCCACCCACGGTATAGCCAGGGCTCGATCAGCGTTGACGGAAAAGCGCCCTGCAGGGCTCATACACGCGGCCCGTCCAAGGAATCCAAGACCGCCTCGGGAAGTGCCGGGGCGACGCGGGGCAGGGCCCAGGTGAGCGGGGGACGAGCGCCGTCCCCTCGCGCGCGCGCCCGCCCGCCCGCCAGTGCGTGGCGCGAGTGTCAGAGAGGCAGCGAGCGGGCGAAGCGCCGCCAAGGCTGTGGCGCAAGCAGACTTGGTTTGGGGCTGTCCCATTGGCCTCAGCCGGAATGGGGATGATGGGAGGGGGGCGGCGCGGCGCTGGCAGCTCGGCAAGCCCAGGGCGAGGGAGGCCGCGCCTGCTCTTTCCCTTTCTCTTTCGCCGGAGGCGGGGGCCGAGGCAGGCGGCAGCCGCCAGGTATGAGGCAGGAGCGGGGAAGGCGACGCGCGCGGGCAGAGGACGCCGGGGAGAGCGGGAGCGTGGCGGACGGGAGGAAGTCCCGGTCGCAGCCCCGAGAGGGTGCCAAGCTGTGAGCCCAGGCGCTGCCATGGCGCGGAGGAAGCGGTTCCCCGGGGAGGGAACGGGCGGCTTTACGAACAACCCACCCCTCTCCTCCTTCACCCCGTTTGCAAAGACCCATTTGCACAGGCTGCCGTTGGTGAGAAAAGGGACGGCGGGAGAGGGCTTCCTTCCTTCCTTCCTAAACCGAGCGGCCCCCTCAGAGTGAGCGTGACTTCCCGCAGAGGAGGCGCAGGCGTGCGCTTGCTTCATCCTCCACCTTTCGCCTGTCGCTCCAGCCCTGCTCAGACTCCGGGGTGCTGCTGCTTTCCCTATTACAAGGAGCAGGCAAGCTCTGGAGAAAAAACCGTTTGTTCCTCGTGCTGATCCATGCATAATTTGGTTCTGCTGGGGCATCCCCTTTTGTTGTCAGACTTTCATTTTCCGGTTTTTATTTGTGTGTGTGTGTGTGTGTGTTACAGGGCTCAAAGATGTCTAACTCTAAAAAGAAGCAGAGATTAGGAATCGCGACCCCCTGAGAACCCTTGGATTCTGATCAAATGCCTGCAGAAGTCCAGCTGCAAGCAGCAGCGCAGCAGCTCGTGTGATCCCCTCACCTTCGCCTTCCAATTCGCGGCTCAGGTCCAAACCATTTTACTGCCACAGCGTGTGCCACGAATGGCTACCCAGAGGAAACACTTTGTGAAAGATTTCAATCCCCATATCACCTGTTGTATCTGTAAAGGATATCTTATCAAACCAACTACAGTAACTGAGTGCCTCCATACTTGTAAGTAGGATTTTGCGAGGCATCTTAACTATGGACTGCACTGCTCTTTGCTCCAGTTAATGCTGCTAATAGTTCACTGGTCCTGGGATTAAGGTTCATGAATTGTGAAACTGTTTAGCATTTATATAGCATACATTTCAAACATTCAGAGCACAGCATAGGCATAATATATTGGACTTACTCCTTAATATCAATAATTTTGAAGCAGTGAAGGAAGTTTTAATAGATGGAATGTCATCACAGCATACTTTTAAGGAATTAACATTTAGGTGTTGTATATTTTACACTTTTTCCTGGATCTACCTGTGCTTTGTTAAACAGACAAAAGGAATCTTGTTTTAAAGAACTTTGTCTAATAATGACATTTCACTAAATTGTGATACTGCCTGTGTTTGTACAAAAAAACCCAAATGACACAAAGTGACACAGAAAAGTGGCTCTGGGTTCATTACTTTAACAGGTTATTTTAATACAGTGTTTAGGCCTACTGCTCTAAGAAATAGGAACACATGGACTTTTCATTCTTAAGTCCACATGTTCTTCATTTTAGTATCTCTCCTTCTCTTGGAACTATTGAAGTAGTGCCTTTATCTACAAAAGTATACTTTAAGATATCTTTACATGAAATTCATGTTTGCCACATGTAAACATACTTTATCATGGCAAAAGTTTTAAGTCAAATGGTTTAGACTTATGCACTGCTACTGCTGGTCCTATAGGCTGCCTGAATGAAAAATTGCCCAGAAATCATATGTAAACCTCTCTGGACTCTTTGGACCAAGAATGGAGTATAAGTTAATAAATGTGAAAGGGATGTGTGTGTATATAAATACCCAGTAGACACATACATGGGAACTAAAGTGGCAGCATTTTAGTACAAGTCTGGTGAGAGAAAGATGTTTCTATTTCATATGTTATGCCATCCATTGCAAAAGTTTTTATGCTGCTTTTTCTTGCTATTGTTATTAGCTGCATTGAGTGCAGGATAACAATTTTAAAGTAAAAATGGAGCCACACCTGCCACATAAACATGTATCTTGCCTTAAGCCAGAAGCTTTGGTTTACTTGTTCCATGAATTTATTTGATAATCTTTCAAACTTCACTTATACAGTGAACTGGTAAAGCATGAAACCTGAACTTCAGCTGACATTAAAAGAACATAGCTTTACATTATGAGTCTCCATGCATGCTCTGATGTGCACTCTGAGCTCTCTTGCAAGATACCATATCCATTGATTTTAGGTTTGTAAATTAGTTTGTAAATCAGAAGATTTTATTATGGTACTGGTGATGGAGTGCTGGGAAGAAAACAGAATTGCATGGGTCACAAAATGAACTTGGGATGTACTAGTGACAGGCCTAGTGTGGTGAGGTATGCACTTTCAAAAGCATTTACCAATCATGTCTCAGATTTGCAATTTTACCTAAAACACATTTCTTATCTGATTTTTCAGTTTGTAAGAGTTGTATTGTACAGCATTTTGAAGACAGTAATGACTGTCCCAGATGTGGCAATCAAGTGCATGAGACCAATCCATTAGAAATGTTACGGTAAGGGGATATTAAATACAAATTGTAATGTAAGCCAATTTATCTTAGTTTAACTTAATAGGATGGAGTAAGAAAATTACAGGGAATCAGAATTAGAATCTAAAATTAATAACTGTAAAATTTCTAACATTATAGAATGTTAGATAACTAAAGTTCATAGGATGTAAAAGGGATCTTTGGTGTTATAAGAAAACGTTGATGGTCCAACCATGCTAAAGTGAGTTATTTCTAAAGCTGAAGTCATATGTGTATTCTAAAGTGTTTTAAATTATTGGAAATTTTCATTTTCTTCACTTAATTTATATTATGAAAATTCACAAATTATACTGTTCCCTAGATTTAAATGTCATCAAACACATCCTTCCATTTAGTCTAGGAGAAGACATTCCTCTGCTTGCCTATGATGGACACTTTCCCATAGTACCTTGCAACCACACTGGTGCAGCAATGTAATATAATATGCAACCAAGACATTTCATATTGCCTGCCTCCTCTTTTGCTCAAGTCCTGCAAAAGAATTGCCTTTGACAAAAATGCTTGCACTGTATACGTTTCACCTGCATGGTGCCTAGTCAGTCTGTTTTCCTTTTTTTAAATAAATACGAAGGCGAGATGGAGAGGATGCAGACAACAAATATGGAAGCTTGGAGCTCCATAATCATAGGCATGGAAGAAAATGAGGGAAAACGAGCAAGAGAGCAGATGGGTGGCAATAGCATTGGAAATGCAGAGCCACGTCCAGGGAAGTTTGCAGGCCTGTGCTGCTATGTTCCTTTGCTGCATCTGTGGACCCCCTCTTCCTTCACTTGGCACTTTGCAGAATTGTTGCACTCTTAAGAAGGCAAATGTATGGTAAAATTATCTCATTTCTAAGATTTGGTGAGTTCAAATAAATATTTTATAGAGGGAGGAGAAGTTAAAATAAACTGAGAAGAAAAAGTGAGGACATCCATTTCCCAAACCAATAGGCCATGCATAAAGGCAGATAGAGTTTGTGTTGGTTCCAATGATACTTAGTTGCAATTGATTTTAACCTGATCAGCCTTAATGCCTTTGGTTGTTTTGCAAATTGCTAAAGAAAATAGAATATTTTATTGCTGAAAAGCAATGGAAGCCCAAGAGTTTTTAGGGTCCTAGACTCTCAGCCCAACCTACCTCACAAGATTGTTGTTGTGAGGATAAGATTATAAGGAAGAAAAATATTATATAAGCTGCCTTAAGTTCCTTGGAAAAAAGGTAAGAACAATAATAAATAGAAAATTATACTAAGATTTTGGTAGCATTATTGCAGAATAGTAACACAATGTTGGGGAAAGACTTATAAAATAAAAAGAGGATATACACAGTTACAAGTCTGGTTTTGCTACTGCATACTGAGCCTTGCTCGTCAATAACTTCTCATTTGCTTGCCATGAACTACTGCTAACTCTGCTTCTTCTCCAACTGGAGAAAGGTAATATTTTGTGCTTTAAATAGCTATCTGCAGGAAGCACTGTGTAAAAGATTTCATTCCTCATATAACCTGTTCTTTGAATAGCTTCACAAACCACTGTTATTGTAATCATGTTGTTTCCACTTCGGATACCCAGTTGTAGGGCATTAAAAAGAAAATTCCAGTTGGAGTAGTTGGCAGCAATAGCAAAGAAGAGGGTGGATAAGGCAAGACTGATAACATCCAATTCTGTGACTGGGTTTAGAGCCCATGATTACACACTCAGGGTTGAAAGTGGATTGTCATCAAACTATGGATTGTTGTCTGAACCCAGTTGCACTAACAAGGCATAATTTTTTAACCATGAACAACCCATAAAAAGCACCCATGTGGCTTGTCCTTTGGTTGTATACTGTGGATTGTTCATGGCTAATGAACAACCTGGTTTGTTATGTCTGGATCTATATAACATAATAACCCGCGTCTTAACAACAGCCCAAAGTCAGCCCTTGAACTGGGCTATGGTGTTGTCTGAACCCAACCATTGTGAGCTCCTCTGTTAAATAAGCTGTGAAACTGCTCACTGCAACGCTGAGGTATGTGCTACATGTTGACTTGTTATGAGTGCCTTTACCATTAAGTAAGTTAATATATATAATTTGATTATAAACCCCATTTGAGTAGGTGTGGATCAAACAAGGTAAGACCCCTGCTCAGCCTACACCTAATATTTATAGATAATATTATCAACTGACCATGAACAGTCCAGTTTCACTAAAGTCAGTGGCTTGTCACTAGCATGTTCTCTGTGTTTCAGTAGCACCTTAGGACAAAGCTGGTCTATTGACATTATACTAGTAAGCTAACGATTAGTAGAATTTTGTTTAAAGCACAGAGATTTAGTTTATTTAAGCACAGAGAAGCCGTAGTGAACTCAATGACAAATATGCAAATATAATTTAATTACAGGACTATGACCGCAATCTTCCTCTTAGGAAAAATGACTAGACAAAATCAGAAGGCTCTGTGAATTAAGGGTCAAAGTACACATGGTGCTGTTGTGTGTATAGTTCCCCATTCCTTTATTTTATTTTACAAAGTATAACCAAGGAAGCTGCCATTTCCCTGAAGACCTATATGAGGAAAGGTTGAGAATTTTAATTGTTTCTCTTCTGGTGGATTTTGCACTGGAAATCACCCCATCTTTTTTCCTTGCTGGAAAAAAAGATATGGATGTGTTTATTTAAAAGCAGGGGAACTGTTTCTTATCTTTTTCTCTTTACATGAAAAAGCAACTGAGAAGAGGAATGATTCTCAGCTGAAAAAATGCCATAGGTGAAAGATGTAATATCTTCCACATCTTATTCCTGATCGCAGTTTGCATTGTATAACACAGCAAGTCTGAAAAACATGACTTACTGACCTGGTTCACACAACACTATAACCCACTCTGGATGAATAGTCCTGGTGGGTTGTTGTGTCATCTAGACACTGCGGTTTCTGCAGGATGGCTTATTTTTCATTAAAAAGCCACTCTGAGTATCCATGGCTTGTTCTATAGGTTGTCCAACCCATGATGGTTTGTGGGTATTCCATACCCGGTAGGATGGTTTTATCATGAACCACTTGGCAAGGGCAGCAACAGAACCCCTGCTGCTCACTTTTGTGACCTCCTTACTGACTATCCTTCTGCCAAAGCCAAAATGGCACTTTGAAAAGAGGTTCCAGCATTCAGGTTTTCAAATTTATTCATCAGAGTTCCCAAAAAGTGTTATTGGGCTCATATTGTGTAAGGTTTTTTTCAGCTGTTAGATATTGGATATTTTTAAAAAAAACACATTTTCACAGATGTCCAAATGTATATTTAAAGCTATCCAGTACAAGTTTAGCTAATTTGCGCATACTAGCTAATTTGCACACCGTTGTCAGGGACCAAGTGCCTAGCTGTTAGTGGAAAAGTAAAAGAGGAGGAAAAATGGTGCAGCCCCCTTGGCAATGTACTACTTTTGATGTTAGGTGTTGAATTGGCAGTTCTCAGTTCTTTTCGCCCTTTCTACAATCAGTTCAGAAAGAGGAGCTGTATTTCACCTCCAAAGGTTTTTTTTTGTGCATCTGCAGTTACATTGCTGAATGGGTGATATTCCTGCCACCCCCTTTTTGTGCACCTGCTTTCTCTTCTTTTTCCCTGTTTACCAGTGCTTTTGCATTGATACGCATATGTACAGCCTTGCCCTCTGACAGCTGAAACAGACAAGGAAATTGACTAAGCAACATTACATATATTGGATAGCTGAAACTGTATTTTCACACCTGTAAAGGGCTGGCAAAGAAATGTTTTAAAATGCATAGTTTTCAGGAGATGAAAAGAAATGCAACCTCAATTGTCCTTTTTTAATTTTTAATTTTTGCAGTTCCAGGGGAAAAAAAACACTGGTAAATGTGAAATGGTAGAAATTTGAGTGCGGAAGGGACAAATGTAACAAAAAGGAAAAATGGGGTTACTGAAATATGTGCGAGAGGCAAGCTGGAGGACTGAAGGAGAAAGAGGGGAAGAATAGCCCACAATGAACCCTGTAGTCTGTTGAGTGTGCCATGAGTTGGTAAGCAAATGGCCAACCACTGTGGCTTATTCACAGGGTAGCTTAGCATACAAATCTGCTTTGTATGACATAACAACTCACAGTGCTTTGCCAACCTTGTTTCTGACAGAATCGCTTGTCATATTTTCCAAACCTGGCAAAATGGCTTAAGTCTAGGTTGTTAATTATGCGTAAGCCACACTGAGCAACTACGACTTGTTGCTGGATTGTTCAGGTTGGCTTTATTTCAGAGGCTTGTCATCATATGTGAACTGGATACAAAGGCTTCTGCATGACTTCTTTGAAAGGGAAGAGCAGTGAAACATGTCCAGGAAGAGCAGTGAAAAACCTGACAGCACATCACAGTGCCCTCTGTGTTTCTTTCTCTGGCTCGGCATGTCATTTGACAGTGGCCAGGTTTACCCCCTTGTGAGCCAATTCAACATAACATATGTGGGTATGTATGATTGTCTTACCTCTTGATAAGCCTATAGGGCCCCAGTTTGGAACCATGCCATTTCAGGAGGAGAGGATTTAAGCCCCCCCCCCATTTTAATGAGCCTCTGTGACTCATTAAAAAAGACAAATCTCAATTTTTTAATTTCAGTTTGAAAATGGAAGATGGGAGAGCTTAAGTCCTGCTTCCAGATCACCATTGTCCCAGATTAGGGTCATACATGCTTAGCCAGAGTTAAGTCAATCAGACATACAAACATACCTATGCTATGAAGAGGAATCCCAGCTGCAAGCAGCAGTCAAAGAGGCTTTTCTTAAGTGTTAAAGAAGATGATAAATAAACCCTTGCCTGGCATACCCCCAAAATTAAGGTAACCCCTCCCTTGCACTCTCTGCTCCTCATACTTTTTAGGCAGTATCAGATATATACCCATGGCATATATATTTCAAAGTAGTTGTTTCACAAGAGAAGGTATGAGGGTAAGAGAGATTCTTGTTGCTGCAAGATTATCGACAGCTTGTACCATAAATGCCCATGAGATGCAAGCTAGGAGTGTGGTGGGAAGACAAAAGGAGCAACAAATAAGCCAACTAGCATCTTATCATCTGTCGGCCACATGCCTGTCTTAACAAGCAATTAACTGACCTGACATTGTTTTCAGTATGGCTTATCACGATAGCAAGTTGAACAAGTGAACAAGTTTAGTGTCAAATATAGATTCAGTTTGCATGTCATGATAATCCAAAATTCCAGGGGAACCCAAACTTCAGGAGCCATGGATTTGTGCATGCTGCCTGCTCACTCCCACTACAAGTAGGAAGAGCTAAGCAAACCACAGACCTTCTGCCTGGGTTCAGACCACACAACCATGGTGGCTTTTTCTTTCACCATTGTTGGTCTGTCATGTTGTCTGAACCCTGCTCTGGTATTTCAGCATGGTAAGTTTGGTTGTCAGAAACCATGATAAGAAACCATTATTTGTTCTATAGTTTCCCAATACCACCATGGCTTGCCATGTTGTCTGAATCCAGGATCATAGTTTTCACAGCCCTGGTATGCAACTACTAGAGTCCACAGGAAAGAGTAGCAATTGCAGGGGCTGCTCCAGCCATCCAGTCATTATGTGTGAACCAATGAAGAAGAGGCCAACAACACAGGCGGGGAGCAGGGCATCTTGGGACTGAATTTAAAGCAAGGTGGCTGATGAGATATGTGCCAGCAGCAGGAGGACTGAGCAGGAAAGATGTCAGGTAGTTCAAACCACAAACCATGGTAGCAATGCAGGGTTGCTTGTTGTATGAACCAGCCTCTGTCTGTGGTTTGTTTTAGCATTATGTTTACCCAGGAACTCAGGCTTGGGTTGTTTCTGCAGCTTGTTAAATGAGAGACAAGTCAAAGTCCCTGTTTCAAATATCACAAACCCTCCCATAGTTCGGATCTAATATGATGCGTTTTAAATAGACAGGCAAACCTGCCATGCACAGAAATTAGAGCCAAGTCTATATGTACTTTTTATTAAAAATATAACTGTTAGAAAAGATTACTTCTGCACTCTGCATAAGTTATGCAAATTTAGTAAGTATGCATAATTTACCTTAGTTTGCACAGTTCTGCTAATTTTTTCCCTTTTTTAAAAAACTATTCCTGAAATTCTCCTGAAGGATGAATTTTGGACCCAATTACACATTCTGTGATTCTCTAGGATGACAACACATACAAAGCTTGGATTAAAATTACTTAACATTGTAAATACTTAAAACTGACAACTGCTCAGATATTAGAAGACAGCTATCATGTCTCCCCTTAATCTACTTTATTTCAGGCTAAATATACCAGATCTTTCAAATGTTCCCTATAGGATTTGGTTTCCAGGCCCACTTCTTAACCTTCTCTGTATACACTCCAGTTAGTATCCTCCAGAACTGGACGTAGTACTTCAGCTGCAGCCTGAACAAGTCTTGGCTATTGGGCAGTATATGTTTGAATTTAGAGAGAGAGAGAGAGAGCGCAGAATAGAGAAAACAGTTATTTCTGATATCCAGATGCTATGTTTTTGTTACAGCAGCCTAAGATTGCATTAACTTTTCTAGCAGCTGTATCATTCAGCTGGCTTATGTTCAGCTTCTGGACTCAATTCTATGCATGTTCAGACAGAATAAAGTCCTTCAACTCACAGCATGCCCCAGCTTGACAGCATAAGAGGTGCTGAGCATATATTAGCCATTGTGGAAACATGCTGCATAGAGTTCTAGTTGGCTCCAGCATGTAGTGCCATATACTACAGAAAACATGCAGTTGCAGTTGCAATATATAAGCTAACAGCCTGATGTGTGTCCACTACCACTACTTTAACATTATTGAATTGATGCTAAATTATTTTTTCTGGTATAGGAAGCAGATTGTTTCAAAAGATATACTCCCAAACTTCTGAAAGTTTGTTAAATTAAACTGGGATCATACTTGATTTTACACTTAGACTAGTTTACTTTTAGATTCTTAAATTTAGGGGGCATAACACTGTTATCCTGTGCTCACTTACCCAAGAGGAATTCCCATTGAACTCAATAGGACTTAGGAACTCAGTGGGATTGCATTATAAAGACAGGACTTTGCACCTGCATTTCTGTATGAGACAGTGTTGTGTTGATACCTCCCCTGTGTATGGGTAATTTTGCTGTGTCTCTAAATGATCAATATTCCCAGTTTAATCACACCTAATGCAAATTTGAGACAAAAATGTCACTACTCGGCAGAAGTTCATTGGAAGAAGACAAGGTCAGAGCAGTGAATAATTGAAACACACTTTGATAGCCCTCCTGTGCATGAGTCCTCTGAGCTCACAGAATACTCTGTGAGTGTGTGTGTGTGTGTGTGCGCGCGCGCGCGCATGCATGTTGATATGGTACACTGTTTGGGAATAAGTGGCTTAAGCCATTGCTGCCAAAACTAATGTTCTGAATTTTGTTTTACTGTTTCCCTTTAAAGTTGCTAAAACAATCTAGGATTGTTTTAACAACTAGCTTTCAAAAGTAAATAAATTTTAAGTCTTTTGACTTCTTAAAAAATTATCTTTTCTTCCCAAGGCTGGATAACACATTAGAAGAAATTATATTTAAGTTGGTTCCAGGACTAAGAGAACGTAAGTTTCCCCCCCTCTCTCTCATAAGTAAATTGCTGCTTTTTTTCTGTGCTTCTATTGATATTCCAGCATTATTGTTCTGAAACACCACAATTGCTTTTTTATTGCTAACTAGAGGAACTGCACCGTGAGGCTGAGTTCTGGAAGAAAAACAAACCTCAAGAAAATGGAGAAGGTAATTATATTCTTTTGATAATGTAGCAATAAGTTAATGGGGCCCAAGTTGAACAAATGTTTTGTGTTAGTGCTCACAAATCTTTATCTGTCCATCTATTGATATTTTTATTTACATTCTCCAATAAATGTTGAAGTATCCCTTGTAGCAGTTTGTTTCACAGCTTATTTATAATTGGCTACTTTTTAATTAGGCATACAATAAAGTAAAATGAAGAGTTTCTATGCTAGACTTGGTTATGTAATCCAGAGGTTATATGCATGCATATCCATCCTACTTTATATCTAGAGTGGCATGGTTTACAAGGTTTTCCCATTTTTATACAAAACATTTAAAAAGATGTGTTAATTTTTATCTATACTTTAAAGAGCTTTCTTTGTGCACTTAGAGTGCTTCACATGGGCACGTATTAGAAAGTATTGTTGTCAGAATTTTTTAGATTCTTGTGCAGTAATCCAATGAACAGAAGCAGGTAAGAATTTAATATTCTTCTCAAATCAGCAAATTATTGAAAAATCTTTGTAAATTTCAAGTTATGTTCTCTTCCATTCCAAACTCCTCCAAAGGCACTTTAATGTAGTAGAATGTTAACGTAGAAAAATGGTAAGCTTGATACTCAGTAGTTTTTCTGTTATTTAGGGTCTTTCTTAATTTCCACTGTGAATAGTTGTTGACAGCTTTCCAGTGGCATTTTCTGAATAGAGATCAGTTAACAATACATATGCCCTTCTTATTTCCATTTTTCTACATAGCGTTGCATGTCCCATGTCTGCTAGTGGATATTTTAGTGGGTATTTGGGCATCTTTAGGCAGGGTCAGCACTGCAGATAATTCAACCCTCTCTTGCTTAGTTGTCTTCTGGTCTCTTAATCCTTATCTTCCATATTATTATCTGAAGGAGAATGAGAAAGCCATTGAAACAATCAACGTATTTAGATCTCATATAAAAAACACAAACACATATTCTCACAGCTACTTGCATATTACTAGTCCTGTGGTAGTGAGGATTTGCCTGAACTAGTAAGTAAATGGTATATTAATATTAATAATAATAATATTTTCCTCAAGAAAATCCAAAATCTGAAAATCCCAAAGATGCTGAAGATGGAGATGAAAATCAAGAAGATAAAGACTATCACAGGAGTGACCCACAGATTGCTATCTGTCTGGATTGTTTACGTAACAATGGGCAGTCTGGGGATAATATTGTAAAAGTAAGTTTTGAAAACATTTTATGCTCCTTAAATTCTTGGAAGAATAGGATGTTTTTAGTAGCATGCTATAAATTCTTTAGGCTTGTTACACTTGCAACCACATGCTGTTTTTTCCCCCTTCTTGATTCCTTTTCCATTTCTGAGTCTAGTAAAAAGGAAGGTGTGGGGAGAAAAGCTTCTCTTGGTAGCATGGAAAAAGTTCTACTCCCACCTGACACTTCTCCACTTTAAATCATTCCACCATTTTACTGCTTTGTGGTAATCTGAAATACAATCTGTTGGCAGTTGTGTAGTTTGGCCCCCTAATGCAAGTGTTCTATGAATTACATTATTAATTTAAGGTCATATTTCACTTGTGAGACCTTCATACAGAAATACAGGTGCAGGCCTACAACAGCATTGCTGCAGTTGAAATGATAGGTTGAACTTGTAGTATTGTAGTACATTGCAATTTCATTATATGAAGCTTCCATAAGGAATAGTTTTGTATTTCATTTATAGGTTTTGGGAACAATTCTGTTCATATTTACAGGGTTTCTCCCCCACCCCACTTTCTTTAGGGACTGATGAAGAAATTCATCCGGTGTTCTACACGAGTGACTGTAGGAACTATCAAGAAGTTTCTAAGTTTAAAGTTAAAGCTTCCAAGTTCTTACGAGGTATGATGGACAGCAGGTCAAAGGTGATAGACTTTTTCCCTTAATGAAGATTAAGTGGACTTAAAGTGTCAATACTTGATTCTGTAAATGCATTTTGGCTTTTAATGTGAAACACAGACTGTGAAATTGAGAAGTTGATACAATTACTGAGAAGTTTATACAATGAGTTCAGTGGGGCTTATTCATGTAAAGCTTCATAACCTTAAATGCCATAATCCAGGATAAGTTAATAGTTTTCACTGAAGATTAGTACCCAGTGAAAAATCAGCATAAACATAACTTCAGTAAAAAACTACCACATTGCACAAACATTTCCCAGAAAACCCAGCACTCCTTGAAAAGTCATTTTCCCATTTTGTTTGGGTTATGGAGTATGAGATGTATTATAATAAAAGTGGAATACCTTCTGAGCCAGACATTGAGGCATTTATAATTCTGACTGACTCCAAGAGGCTACAGATGAAAGCAGATGTAGAATTTTAAGGGTTAAAGTAGATTCTTAATCCATTGTGAGTCCAGCTTTGCATCTTATAGTAATAAACACCAGCAAGCTGAGTGCTAGTATTTATGTCTTCAAATACACATTTGAAGAAAGACCATAGCTCTTTTGGTAGAATATTTTGTATGTAGAAGGTCCTGGCTCAAATATTGGTATCTCCAGTTAAAAACTAAAGAGCAGATAATGTGAAAGGCCACTGCATGAAACCCCAGAGAATTACAACCAAAGCCAACAGTACTGGACTAGATGGACCAGTCACACAGTCAGCTTCTTACATTCTTCTGTTAAATCAGGCCTCAGTGTTTTCCTTTTCTTCATGCATCAGGCATAATATAGTTTTATGAAGTCCATGTTATCATATATTTCATTTGCATGTCCTTCACCTTTAAACAACCATAAGCACATTACTTTCCTATCCTTGTAACAAGCCCTTTTACTAATGTATTATTGGCACCAATTAATGGACCAAAGTATATTGTTGTTTCAAATATCAACCCTAAGATACCCAGCTGCAAAGGATACTCCCCATATGTCACTTTCCAGGCTATTTTTTACTTTTCAAATTTTAAGCAGCACATTTAGATAAGAAACTTGAATTTCTTGTCAGGAAAGAAAGTGAAAATACATGTGAACATGTAAAAGTTGGTTGGTTGGTTGTTGTTTTGCTTGAGAGCCATTTTATTTGTATTTTGCTTGGCAATTGTTTTAATGCATATTAAGTATTCCCTGTGCTTAATGTACTTTCTATGATACTTTATTTTCTCTTCTAGCTGGATGTACTATGCAATGGGGAAATCATGGGGAAGGATCACACTATGGAATTTATCTACATGACAAGATGGAGACTACGAGGCGAAAATGTAATTAATTTTTATTTTTTTGTCACGTGTGCGTATTTATATTTAGAAATCTCACCAGCACTTCCTGCCATTTATAGTTTCTGATTTCGGCAGATGTATCTATGATTTGAATTTAAGACAAAGCTTTAACTTTTAATATGTGCACACAGTTAGAATGTTACATTTTACTCTCAAATGTTACATCTAGAAGTAGAAAAAGACCTTGGGAAAGGAACCATAACAATTAAAGCATGTGTGCTTTGTGCAGAGGTCCCAATTTTATTCCTTGTATGTTAACTCACCCTATATAAGCCATAGGCTTGATGGCTTGCTTGCTGAACAACCTGTGGTACACTTGGCAGATAACTGGGTTTGCTGTGAGTTGTTCTCCCCTCCTTCTCCCCTCAGTCCTTGGTCCAGCTCTGATTTATATCTCAGTGTCCCTCATTACAAAAAATATCTTGTCTCCTCTTTCACGCAACAACTGATACTCCTTTTTGTTGTTTTTTCAGAGCCTCAAAAAGTATAACTGAGGTATTTTCTTGTTTTTATTTCAACCCCTAAGAATCCTGCAACTGTGTTTGTAATGTATTTTATTTAATTTTTTGTCAGTCTTTTGCAAGTGCTCTCTTAACAGCTGTTGAATACCAAGTGTCAGTTCAACACTTAAAACTGAAAGGATCATATTTCTCCCTGCTTTTGATGCACTTACCACTTTAGCTTTCCCCCTACAATTTTATTGCTTCTAACTTGCACCTCCTTTCTCTTACTCATTTTTCTTACTCTTGTACACCTGGGCAAAAAATAGCTCATAGACAACCTCGCCTTGTCAATACTCATATTGAATATTCATGAGTGCACACTTGCAAAAGACCACAAAAACTATTTTTAAAAAATATGATCCAATTGTTCATTTTTGAAGCACCAAAAATAAAAGGACAGAATAAAAATGATGTCCCAAACTGGAATGACAGAACCCATCATGGGCAAGGACAAGTATAATAGACCATGAGTTCTTTGTTACCACCCTGCAGAAAATGGTCCAGGTTTGGATAACACTACAATTCATGCATTTCATGTCCAAACAACTGTGGACAAAGTACATCTCATTGTACAGGATTCTTACTTTCTTGTATTTTGTATCATAGAATCATACAGTTGGTAGGGGTCTCAAAGGCCATTGGGCCCAACCTTCTGCTCAATGCAGTACTCAGGTCTCCCATCCAGACCTGACCCCAATTAACTTCCAAGATTAGGCGGGATCAGGCGCTTCAAGCTATACCTGCTAAGTAGTGGGGCAGAGTGATACATTTCTTCAGTGCATTTTTGTATGATTAATAATTTATTAACTTTTATGCCATCTCTTCACATGATTAAGGTAGGTTACAAAGTTTACAAGAGTATACAGTCCATAAAATAATTAGGAATTCCTTCCCATCAAAAAACATGGAATAAGTATAGGGTCTTCAGATTTCTGGTACCTTTAGCTTCAACTGAAGTGACATGGTCCAACCAAAGCAAAGTTTTTCTTTCTTAATGGGATAACTCAAACTGTATCATGTGCTCATACATCTTAAGTTGAAATCATTGGAAATTGATAGTGCTTAACTCCTCTGGGTTGTGGGTTTAAAAAAGATATCTATTTCCTATTTGCAATGTAGAATCACTACTGCATTTTTTCACAGAAAGGCTTTACACACACACACACACACACACACACACAGAGAGAGAGAGAGAGAGAGAGGGAGAGGGGGAGAGAGAGAGAGAGAGAGAGAGAGAGAGAGAGAGAATACTATGTCTATAACTTATCTTGTAAAAATATAAAATAATAGTCCTGAGATTTTGCTTCCACTGAATGTAAAATAATCAAAACTAAATTTAGTTATATGTGAATATTGGAATGGTAAATTATTTGTAACTTGGAGATAAGTTACAAGTCTTATACAAAATCTGTTTTGTCTGGCTTGGAGCCAAAAGCTACTGCTACTTAGTATTATTTATTAGTTTATTCTGGTTTATTATTCTGGTTTTATTGTTATACTACCTTTCTGCTTTAAGACACCAAAGAAAGTGGAAGGAATTTCCACTCATATAGTGGGAAGTCTCTGATCCACTCCCCCCCCGCCCGCCCAAAACCCATCTGCAGCACTCCAGGTGGTTATGAAGAGAACTGGGATGTTTCCAGAGCACCCCTTCTCTCTGCAGCCAATTTTAAGAAGGTAGAGTTTGTAGACTGGAGGTGGGAGAGAACTGGCAAACAAAACTCCAATTTTCTGCAGGCAGATGTGTAGAAGGATATCAGGATCCAGCCCTACAAATCTTGACAACTTTCCAGTTTTACTTATTTAAAAAACTTTAGAGGTTGCATACAGGTATAAAAAAATTGATCTAGTAGAAGTTTTAAATCTTCCTATTAATCTCTGTCAGCAAAATAGTACCTGACCTAATTGTTAAATAATTAAAACATCAGATGTGAAACAAAAAAAGTGAAATGACTAATAATCTATGTCCAGTTGTGGATGCCTCTTATCTGATCAGAAAATCATCTCCTTCGCAGTTTCGGTGTCAGAACTGCTCATCTTCCCAAGTCTGCTCACAGGATGGCTCTTTTTATCAGGTAAGAGGCACTCCCGACTGTACACATTATAGTCATTAAGATGGCATTAATATATCCATGGTAATTCAGATGATGGGAGGTGGGTCTCTCCTCAAAGAACCCCTTGAGGGTCAGAAGTCTTGTTGTTGATGATGATATTGAGTTGCTGTTGCTGTTCATATTTACATAGTTTTGAAAATGCACATGGGGATGATCTTTTATTAATTTAATGTATTTATATCCCACCTTCATTACCATGCTAAAGGCACCTAATAAAATCAAAATTACATAAAACAACTTCATTAAATCTGTAGAAAATAAACATAAATGTGCAAAACTTACAATATGTTTTAGCACTTGAGGACTAGTTCTTCCCACTGCTAGTGAAGTGTGATAGATAAATTACCATTCCATAACTTCATTAATATAATGAATGGATACCAGTTGCAAATATAATATTGGGTAAACTGCAGTTTCAAAATTGTGATGAATATTTTTAGAGGATTCTCCCTGGCAAATATGAGAAAATGCATATATGTCATTGATTTCTAAGCTGGGAGGTGGCAGTGGTAAGAACAACATACAGTTCATCAAGAATAAATATATATTATAATGATTCTTGATTATCATGCAATTTCAAATAGATGAGCAACTCTTAGCATATCATGCTTATTTCTTTGGGTTTCTGCAATATATTATCCTTTTAACAATTTTCAGTAACTATTATGTTTTTCCCTTAAATAGAAACAATGTAAGGAAATTACCTTCTATTGTCTTTAAATTTCTACATAATGTAACACTTAAATCATATGGAGGGTATGACCCTTTGCCCTAAACATTGACCAGGTTCACATGTTAGAACAAGCCATAGCACACAGTTTCCACTGTGTGCAGTTCTTTGCATGGTTGTACCTGAAAGACGATGGGGCTCAGCTTGGTAACTGTTCTCCCATTCGCCATGTTCTTCCTTCTCAGTTCTCTAAGCAGTATCTCAGGAGGCACTGCAGGGAGGACTGAGGCTCCTTGCTTTGACAGCCTTGCTCACAAGCCAAGTTCAGCTGTCAGGCAGTTTCTGCTGCACAAACAGGGCTCATGCTTTGAACTGCAGCAGAGAAGATGAGGGTGCTGGACAGGCATGCACCCCTCCTGCTGCAGAAGGACTGCTGAAGCACGATCTGTCCACACTCATGCAAAGCAGCAGACCTGCTCAATTGATTTCCCACTCTGCCCCTTTTCAGTTGCCAGAGTGCTGCTCCTCAAGCCAGTAGCAGGGGCGAGAAGCAGTGGGCTTTCCAGAGAGGTGTCCCCATTCTGGCACCCACAGATCCGGCTCCAGCTTCAGAACTCTCCTTCAAGCCAGAGTGAGGAGGGGCAACCAGTTCTGCTCTCTTCCATATCACCATTGCCCACAGGATTCTTGCCCTGTCCAGTGGCTCTTGAGGAGTGGCACAGGCATGTTGCTCTGGGGCAGTGGTGGCGAACCTATGGCACTCATGCCGCAGTGGGCATGCAGAGCCTTCTCTGTTGGCACGTGAGCCAAATCGCCCCAGCAGCCAAGCCTCGGATAATCGCACACATAGGGGCCATGTGCATGCTCGGAAAGGAATAGCAGCGCCAGGCAATGACATCACAAGCCATGACTCATTAGCCGTGACTCGTCTGAGCTTTCGCATGGCCAGTCAGTGCGCTGACAAGGAGATATATATTTGCTTGGACTAGCTGTGAGGTGTTTTTTCTAAACTAAAACCTCAATTTTCAGGTTTTAGTGCAGTGTTGGCACTTTGCGATAAATAAGTGGAGTTTGGGTTGCAGTTTGGGCACTCGGTCTCTTAAAGGTTCGCCATCACTGCTCTAGGGTGTGCAAAGGAGAAGATGGAGAATCAACTGAGCAGCACTGCCGCTTTCCTCAGGGCTGCCCAGCCGATTCTTACCCCAGCTGCTGGATCTTGAGGAGCAGCGAAACAGGCAGCACACTGGAATGTTCAAAGGGGCAGAGGGAATCAATGGAGCAGTGCTGCTCCTTTTCACAGTGCGACCCAGCAGTTTCTCATTGCTGCTTCGGCCTTTTGAAGCAGTGCTCTGGCAAGTGAGAAGGGAGCCATGCGGGAATCCACTGCAGTAGCAGCCCCCAACTGGGTCCTCCCAATCATCACTAGCATGGGACAGCAGTGGAGGTATCAATGTTTTAGGGCAGTCTTTAGGAACGTCTTTAGGGCAGGAGATAGGAGGAATGGGCGCTTGACTGGCATTTCGCATGGAATGTAGGCTGATTAATATTGATTGGCTGATTGATACAGTTATCTGATTCTGTTATTTGGGATTGCAATCTAATGCAAACATGGGATTGCACCCTAAGATTTCAAAGGAAAAGTTAGGGATTTTGTTAGAATCATTGCCAAAATGTTTGGTGCAATAAACTTTCAGGGACTCCAGTCTTACACATGCATTATTTATGTATTTCATTTTTATCCTGCTCTTCTTCCAAAGAACTCAGGTATGCTCCTCTCCCTGATTTATCTTTATAACAATGTATATATGCTGTAAAGAGAGAGTTTGAGTAATACAGGATTACTAAGTGGATTTCATTACTGAGCAGAGTTTTGAAACCAGATTTCCCCAGTACAGGTGCAGCTTGAACTGGTGGTTTAATTGGGAATGTTAAAATGCATGCTGTTTATTTCCAAATTCACATTTATAGACAGTGTTAAGTATTTTTAAATCACACTGGTTTCAATGGGAAAGATTTAAAAACATCAACTG